TTAAACCCCGTCTCAAGATGTCCATATTTTCTAAATCTATCCTATGCCCAGTGTCTAGACCATGCCCTGCCATTACTGAATCTTTGACTAACGCCTGGTATTCCTCTGCGTTTCTCGGTGGTCTGGTAATGAAACGCTTATGCTCACCGATTCTGGTGTGCAATTCCCTGGCTGTCTGACCTATGTAAACCTTCGTACAGTCGTTACATTTTAGTTTGTGTACACAGTTCCTAGTCCTATCAACCGGAAGGCGATCCTTCAAATGCACTAACACTGAGCGTAAAGTCTTTCCATTGTGGAATGCTACTCTAATGTTAGCTGTATTCAATACCCTTCCAATGACTTCAGATGTCCATGTTTTGAATGGAATGACCGCTGTTAGCATCCATACCCGTCTAAGTAGCTGCTTAATTGAGCCCACTTGAAGTCTTGAAGTCACTTTTTTACCTCAAGTTGTGCTGCTCTTTGGCTGACCTCCTCCGTACACAGTGCTCTCATTCTCGTAAACATCGTTGAATGTGCAGATAAGTAGTTTTAGACCGCACTGCTATCTGTCGATTACCGGTAAACAGTGGTTTTTAATTTCCAACCACTCTTGTGTGTCTTGCACTCAAGGACTCTAGCTCCATACTCAACTCAATGTGAAGGTCAAAGGTGTTCAGATGTTGAAAGAATTCGTTCACCTTACCCCGGTTTATCACAACGAACGTGTCATCTACTTAACGCCAGAACACCCTTGATGGACACTTGAATCCGTTTAAAGCTTTCTGCTCAAAGTCTTCCATGTACATGTTGGCCAAAATCGGGGATATTGGTGGTCCCGTCGCTAAACCTTGTTCTTGAGAGTATATAATTGAGTTGAAAACAAAATGACCGAGGTTTATGCAAACCTTTACGCCTTCAACTATCTCGTCTACGGAGAGTTGTGTTCATACTTGCAGCGGCTGGTCATAGGAAATCTCATGATTGGTTCTCTCACTGGCTTAAAGCCCAATCAACTACTTACTTACTCACTTGACCTGACGAAGCTTTTGTGCCTAGCAATAAATCCACCGATTGTTTACCAAACCTCTCTGAAGCGATGACTTCCAAATCGGTCCCAAACGTTTTCCAACTGATTGAAAACTTCTAAATAACCCTTCTTTAAGGTGACTTTAACATAATAATGGGTGTGTCATATGCGACGACCATTTGCACCAGTTGGTATCATAGTTGCACCACATACAATGTACCAAGCTGTGGTTGGCTGTTATGTTCACCGATCTCGGTGACTGGATTGAGTATGATTTGTCCCGATCGAAGCGATGTTGTCAGTGTGGAATTGGGTGGGTCAAGCGGTATCAATATATACATTCGCAGCGGAGATCGGTTGATTTTGTTACCGTCTCCGGCAAACCCTGTACTTATATACTGATGGACCATGGTGGGATTTTTTGCACTTTGACCGAAACGATAAGTTGCGGAGTAAACACAGAGTTGCCTTCATATGTTTAAATTAGTCAGGGTGGTTCATTTTTCTAAAACATTATTATGCACACAGCAAGGTCATTCATATCACATTTTTCATGGCTTTGTCATTCCATAATCTGCCAATGCAGTCAAAGAATCATCAGATTTCTTTGAAAACCATAAAAGAAACGGGGAGATTCATAAAGTGCTTTGGGGAATTTCGGGTTTGAGGCAACAGTACAACACAAAAGTGTTCAACAATCAGACGACAATCGGTTCAGCTGTTCAATGACTTCTTACCTTAGTGAAATTGGAACCGATATAGAGAACGGTGCTTAGCAACGTGTGACTTCTGTAGATAGCTGAAACAGTCACAGTCCAAGCTCCAATTGCCCGACCAACAATAGCCTAAAAATCGTCTGTGCGACCAGCGATTCCAATAGCATTTATCTTCCGTCAAAATCTAAGACTATATTGGCTTTCTTAGAACAAGAGCGGACGTAATTCACTAATGGTAGCATTATGGAGGCTGAATCATTTTCACCTCCGCACTTTATTCTAGTTGAGCTTGCTCACAACAAGGTTTTGGAAGAAATTTTCAAGGGCGAAACCTTATGATCACTCCACAACTTTGCTGATGTGACATTTTCTCACCCACCACTACTGAATGACCCATAAAAGCAACCAGACACCGTGCAAAGTTGCTGTTCGACTGCACAGAAGAGACGACTAAAAAAGAACGTTTACCATTATCTTTGTTGAAAATCATCAAGCAATTGTTTAGCACCACGCGGGAGAGAATACCTGTTCAAACTGATGTTCAAGCAAGGCACATCCATTGGTACCGCTGTGTTGTGGAGATGGCCAGTTGTTTCCATCTTACCCTGCAGGTTTCTCAAATGATGAAGCATGTAAGTTTATGCTGGTTTGGTTTAAGAACACACTGCCAGCTGACGTCGGATATAGAGGAGATTACGATTGAACAAGTTTAACTAAATTTCCGGCCTTCTTAATGCGGATATATGAAAAAGGTCATTTTAGGCTACCAGGATCCGACTAAGAAAACATCTGACTAATTTCAGGGCTCGATGTAGTCGCTCACTTTTCAAATCTTTACCGGTGCTAATCGATATTGGACGCCTTACCTCTCGGACGAGTGGCAGAACGTAGTTACACTACATACAGTATTAGCATTGCCTGATATTATATACCACACTTTTGACGCAATCGTGGCCTAGTTTCACAATATTAGTTTTGCATGTGTGTGACGCAATTCAAAAGTGATTTTCGACCCTCAGACGAACCGCACGATTTCCTTCGTTCGTATTTCTTGACATTCCGTCACGAACAGACTGAACCTTACCGTGGTGTGGCGGCTTGTGTACCTCGGCGACCCACTGAGCTATACTGGGGAGTGTCCGCACGATGCTCACAGAGTCTCTCATACCAGGTTGGTCCATGGGTAGAGGTCCGACGAACACAGTCTCCTGGCCCTCCAGGTTGGGGTTGGAACATTTATGGCTACGTGTTCCGTAAAAAAATGGTAATGTACTTGCATTTCCAGCCGAACACCGCTGCCTTGCGGTTAGGCTTTTGAGCCAAAGGCTTTGGTTGAGGACCCTAATCGTCCTCCCGTCTAGGTGTGGGCGCCCTGGTAGTATCCCAGCCCTCGTACAACCATGACATACACAACTAATAACATTCTCATGTCACATCGGCCGTCGGGTGGTACCATCAGCCGGATCGCCTTACTTGCTGCATACAGCAGGGCGGGTAAGCGAAAAATGGCTACTGCCGACGCCTCCCTTCTTACACTTTCACGTTTCCCTTTTTTCACCCTTCCCCACCCAAATTCGAATACTTTCTCCGCAAGTCCCAGCTCTAAGACTGACTGTTTTGCTCGCCCTGCATCACACTCAGCTGCAGCTTCTGCACGTCCGAGTAGAGTTACAACTCTAAACACTTCGAAGTCTGTTTTCAAACCCCGAAAACCTGTCTACTTAGCCACCTTCAATGTTCGCACACTGAAGCAAGCAGGTCAACAGGTGGCTATTGCGCGTACGCTGGATTCCCTCTGTATTGATGTATGTTGTCTGTCAGAAACAAGGATGCAGGACGCAAGTACTGTAATCGAACTGACTGCTCCCTCGCTCTCTTCCAGGTTCCGACTGCGCACCTCTGGTGATACAGAGGCCGCTGCGGCTGGATATGCTGGGGTGGGTATTGTATTGAGCGAACGAGCGGAAGCGTCTCTGCTTGACTGGATACCCGTTGACAGTCGCCACTGTGCGGTTCGTTTGGCAACATCTGTGAGAGAATCTAAAGAAAGTGAGGTTCATCGCACTTTATTTATTTTGTCTGCTTATGCCCTGCGTCTGCCCAGGACAGTTTTAAAGACGCTCTGGGTGCCCTTTTACAGTAGGCTAAAAGCTCAGATATTGTTGTGGTTGCGGGTGATATGAACACCCAGGTAGGTAGACTAAGCGCTGCTGAGGCCCGATTGGGTAGTCGCTTTGGTTTGGACACGAGACGCACGGACAACGGAGACCGGTTACTTCAGATGTGTGCCAATCACAGGCTGTTCCTTTGCAGTAGGAATTTCCGGAACAGCGGAAATCGCTTGATAACTTGGTGCCCACCATCAAACCAGCACCGAATCCAAATATCGCAGTCAGGTGTCGGTGGCGAGGGTCGATCACCGCCTGCCGCTCCTTCCGGAACACCAGCGTGGACTCCGACCTTGCACTTGTACGCTGCTGCTTTCATTGCGCTTTTCAGGTGTACGCAAAACGCGCACACCTCGCTTAGCCATTGAGAAGCTAGTTGATCCAGAAACCAAACGAAACTATCAGAAACAACTCCTCGAATGCCTGCCGGGCGGTACGGTGTCGGATATAAACGGCCACTGGGAAAAAATATCCAACGCGTTACTCAAAGCAGGAGCGTTTGCTTGCGGTACAACCCAGCCAACCTCATCCAAGCATTGGGTCTCTGATAGGACCGCGTCTTTGCTGGAGACCCCGCGACAGATTCCACCTGGTCGCCACCACAACTCCACCCGGCGCATCATCCGACGCCAGGTGAAACTGAGTGTCCACGCCAACCGAGAAGCTTGGTGGACCCGAAAGGTCGAAGAAATGGAAGATGCAAAGAATGCTGGAAACGTGCGCAAATTGTTCCGCTTGATTCGTACGACTGGTCCTCGGAAACCTCTTGTCAGCGAAATAATCAGGGACAAAAATCTTTCACTGATATGCAACAAAGCAGAACGTTTGGACCGCTGGGCACAGTACTTCGAGCAGCAATTCAGGTGGCCATTTGCCACCTCCACCTGGCCTTCAACAGAAAGGTGGACCGTAAATATGGAGCCGCCTTCAGCCACAGAAGTGTCCGAATGCTTTTCTCTACTCAAGCATCATCGTGCTGCTGGTCCCGACGACCTTCCACCTGCTCTTTTCAAGGATGACGGTGGATTCCTCAGCCGGTGCCTGTCTAGCCTATTTGGGTCAATCTGGGAGAAGGAGGCCGTCCCAGACAACTGAGGAGAATCGATGGTGGTGCCCATTTTCAAAATGGGTACTCGCATTGAATGTAGCAACCACAGAGGTGTTAGTTTGACGCTTGTTGGGACAAAGCTTCTATCGTCATTGATTCTTCGTCGTCTTATGGCGGCACGCGAAGTCTTGACTCGTAAGAATCAAGCGGGTTTCCGACCGGGTCGAAAATGCGTTGACTACATCTTCACACTCCGTCAGGTGTTAGAACAACGCCACATGTACAGACGACCCACAATCCTGGTATTCCTTGACTTCAAGGGTGCACTCTCCCCATTCTTGTTCAACTTCGTCATCGATGAAATAATGAGGCGAACACTGGACGGTTTTCAAAATCCCGGTGTTCAAATTGTTGCTGGCGAAAGCTTTTTCGATCTGGAGTACGCAGATGACATCGCCCTCATTTTCGAAGACCATAGCAAAGCACAAGCCCTGTTGAATGAACTGACCGTCATCATACCATCTTTCGGCATGCGCCTTGCAACTTCAAAGTGCAAAGTCCTGCTTCAGAACGTGCCCTCTACGAACATATCCCTTACAATTCAAGCAGAATCACTGGAGATCGTGGAAAACTTTACATACCTCGGTAGCTGCATTAGCTCTGACGGAAGTGTGTCTGATGAAGTCAGTGCAAGCGTCTCAAAGGCCCGAATCACGTTTGCTAATTTGTGTCACTTGTGGCGTCAAAAAGGTATATCACTGGACCTTAAGGGCTACAGTAAGGGCTGTGTTGTTGTATGGGTGCGAGGCATGGCCTCTGCGGACAGATGATGTGAGGCGTCTTCGGGTATTCGACCACCGATGCCTCAGGGGGGTGGCTGGTTTAGGATGGCGTCAGCGTGTCAGTAACGCGGCGATTAGAAAACGGGTATTTGGTTGTGCTGCAGGCACCTCAATCCGGGAAAGCATCCAGCATAATCGACTACGATGGCTCGGTCATGTGCTACGCATGCCGAAACACCGTCTACCGAGATGAGTGCTTTTCTCCGTGCCTCCTTCAGGATGATGCAAACCGCGAGGTGGACAGCACATGGCTTGGTAGAAGGGCGTCAAAGAGATCACGAAGAGTTTGGATGTTGTTGGTGTTGTGCGACTTCAAGGATGGGGTCCCCGTGACCCCATCTGTGCTTGGCTGGAGACGTTGCAAGAAATGGCGGCTAATCGATGTCAGTGGCGTTCGTGCTGTCAGTTTCT